ACGGACTTTTTGAGCAAGAAAAGTGAAAAATAAAAATAATTTAACATGATTACAGTGGCGTAGCGTAGGTGTCTGCCGCTCGGGGCGGAAGATAATTTTGCTGCGCCTCTTAATTACGTATTTCAAAGGCATTTTATATAATTATACTATACATTAATTTTAAAGAGTTTTTCGCACAAGAACTGTCGTCATTATTTTGCATTATATAGGTTCGATTTTGACTGCACGTTTGGTCGAGTGCTTTAGTTGTCACCATCCAACTCCAACTTAGCTGCCCATGGCTCGAGCTGACAAAGTTTTCGTGTGATATACAAATATAATTGTTCTTAGTCTGGGTGTACTTTGTCGCTCCCAACACAGGATTTATATCCAAAAAGCGGGATTATCTTTAAAAAAAAAAGATCTCAAATAAAAAAAAATAACTAAACAACTGAAGATCCATGAATAAAACTTTCGTTGAATTGTTAGTGCATCACGTACTTTCTCTTTTCTTGAACTTAATATATATGTAATAGAAGTCATTCTTGCTGATTATAAGTCATAAACAATCCTAGAAATAAAATACTAGAAATCCCCGTAAGTCATCTATCATAAAGATGATTTGCAAAGTTCGAAACTTACATATCAATACAAATACGAAAAAGTAAAAATAGAATATGAGTTGTTTATTGAGTTTTGAAAACTAATTTACTTTTATACATGCAAAAAACCGAAAGGTTGTCATGGAGAAATCGAGAAAGTACTGTAGTGACATCTAGTTTGATTTCGATGAAAAAATATTGATTTCTCTTTTTTAAATACTTCCTTATTAAAGAAAGAGCATTCTCCGAATTCGTCACAGAATAAGTAATGTAAAGTTCCGTGCTCTTTTAATTCGGTCCAAATTTATAGTCGCGTAAAAAATATGATTTGTTTCAAATATTAAAAAAATATATACATACTTACTGTTTACTGTGAGATTTTGCCGCCCCCTAAAAAACGCTCTCCCCCCCTGTCTACTGTCATAGGCAGACTGTGCGATGTCATCTCGTTTTCTCTTCATTTTTATGTAATCACAGCGTCACTAAAATTTATTTATGACAATAATCGATATTGATAACTCATGTAACCCAATTTGTTCCATGATTTTCCACGCCCAATTAGGACACAAAAACATGAATTTAATAAGGGGCTTTGTTTTTTACGTGAAATTTCATTGCGGTTTTGCCTCTGAATTTTGTTTTTATTGAGTTTGGTAATTTTAGTAAAAATTTAATAATACTCTCGAACGTGGATATTAGATATCAATATTATCATGTCATCAGCTAAGTTCATATAATGTTTTGCAGCTTAGACGTTCATATCGTGGCATTTGGTTTCCACTCGCCGCAGTCGATATTTTCAATAGGGGTGGGCAAACGGTCGATCGCGATCGACCGGTCGATCGCAAGGGAATCTATGGTCGATCGCATTCCTAAAAATGTACTGACGTGTTGGGCTAATTCCAATAACAGTGGTCTTTTCACCAGTCAAAATACCAGTATCTAAAGTGCGTTCATAAAAAACATTTTATTTTACACGCGCGTAACTTTAAGAAGAAAATACTTGTCAACAAACAACCTTTCACTGCGAAAATGTCGATATGAAATAAGAAGGCACCAGATTTATTTGCGGCTGTACTGTGCACGTGTGCCGGTGTCGGCTCGTTAAACGGCGCGGCGGCGTCCTTTGACCTGTGCGGGCGGCGAATTAGCTTTATGCTTGCCGCCCGATTTACTTTGCTTTGACAATTGCCGACGGCCGGCACGTGTTCGCCAGTCTCGCACAGATTTTGGTTTCGGTGAGACGTCATGTCGTGATTCTGGATTCTGTACTTGTTTATGTTTCCCAATAACTTTCGTGATCGTGTGACTTCGTGCTGCTCATGAATATATTTTGTACTGAGGGTAACTAAAGGAGAGAGTGAAGTTGGTAACTATTATTTAAAATGAGTGCGCCAAAAAAAAGTAAAACTTATCATTTCAACGATGAATGGGAAGAAGAATTCTTATTTACCATGGTGAAAGACAAGTGTATTTGTCTTGTTTGTCGAGCTTCAGTAGCTTTGCCTAAACGCGGCAACTTAGAAAGGCATCATAAATCCTTGCATAAAATTTACGAAAGTGATTTTCCTCTCAAAAGTGAAATAAGACGTCAGAAAGTTCAAGATCTGAAAGGTAGCTTGAAGGCCGAGCAAGCTATGTTTACCAGGCCAAGTAAACAATCGGAAGCTGCGACAGTTGCGTCCTTCAAAATATCTCATATATTGGCAAAACACAAAAAACCCTTTGAAGATGGCGAGGTATTGAAAAAAGCATTTCTCGAAGGCGCAAATTCATTATTTGGCGACTTTAAAAATAAAACTGAAATCATGTCTGCCATAAAAGAGCTCCAGTTGTCTCGTCGGACTGTAACTAGACGTGTTGAGCTCATGAACAGTGATATCGAGCAAAAGCTAAAAAGTGATATTATGAGATGTTCATTCTTTTCTTTACAATTTGATGAATCCACTGATATGATTGACACTGCCCAGCTATGTGTGTTTATTCGGATGGCATTTCCAGATACGTCGTCTAAAGAAGAGTTCTTAACAATCATACCTTTGAAAGAAACCACTCGCGGTTCAGACATATACGATGCTTTTCTAAGTTTTGCGAAAAACTACGAGCTGCCTCTGTATAAACTAGTGTGCATAACAACAGATGGAGCACCATCAATGACTGGAAAGACTAATGGATTTGTGGCACTGTGCAGAGCTAATGAAGACTTCCCATCTTTTTTTTCTTTTCATTGCGTCATTCATCAGCAGGTGTTGTGTTCGAAAGTACTGAACATGGCAGATGTGATGAGCATCACTATGAAGATCGTAAATTCTATACGAGCCAGAAGCTTGCAACGACGCCTCTTCAAAGTGCAATTGGAGGCCAGCGAATCTGAGCACACAGATTTATTGCTCCATACAGACGTAAGGTGGCTGAGCCGGGGAAAGTTCTTAGAACGGTTTCAAGAATTACTACCTGAAATCATTTCTTTTCTGGATCAAAGGGGTGATGACACGGAGATTCTTAAAAGTGAAAGTTGGCTGTGTGATTTGGCTTTCCTTACTGATGTGACTGGTCATTTGAATTCTATAAACCTGGAGCTACAAGGGAAAGATAAAACTATTATGGACATGATTAGCACAATTAACTCATTTAAAAGTAAATTGCAGCTTCTGATCAACCAACTGAAAAAAAAGGACTTGAAAAATTTTGCGTGTTTGAAAGCAAAAACAAGCGCCGTAATAAATTATAATAAATACGAAACAGAACTTGGAAATATTCTCAGCGAGTTTGAAAGACGTTTTTCTGACTTACAAAAATTGACGAACGTTGTTACTTTCATGATTTATCCTTTTTCTTGTGTGGATGTTGAAATTACTGCTTCTGAAATATCGAACACTTTTGACATGGATTTGTCTTCTCTCGAAAACGAGATGATACAGATCATTTCAGATGTTCACCTAAAAGCCAAAGCAACAGATATCAGTTTTTGGTCTCTTTTGACCCAAGAAAAATACCCAAGTCTCCAACAAATCGCACAGCAATTAACTGCTTTGTTTGGGTCGACGTATTTGTGCGAATCTGCGTTTTCTGAAATGAAAATAATTAAATCCAAATACCGCAATCGACTTACCGACGAACATTTGTCTTCCTGTTTACGTTTGGCACTTACTAAATACGTGCCTTCCTATGAGAAATTAGCAGAAAATACGCAGTGCCATGCATCGACCTCTAAGTAAATCAGTCCAGAGAGGCCCGAAAACTGATAAAAACACTCTTAGTTCATGTGATTGGCTTCATACTTATTTTTAGTAGTTATTAGTTATTAACTTGTATAATAAGAAACTGTACTTCTTTAATTGTAAATAAAAGTATATTTAAATAGTGATATGTGCGCAATACCTACAATAAACGATTTAACATAAAAAAATATTGTCTTATTGCAAGTCGATCGCTTGTCGTCTCAATTTATTGATATAGATCGCCATTAGTGAAAGTCTATTATTGGGTATATAAGTATAGCAGTGAAAGTAACAAGTGCTTGACAAACTTAAGTCTTGCTAAGGTTTGGTTAGAGCAGCCGCCCTGGATTGCGAAAGTAGTAAAATCCCTTTCTCCAGCACCTGATACTGGTTACTTGAGTATTTTTCTATAAGTTAAAATAATATTCTAAATTGACCCAAGCTTACAGTCGCTATTAGATTTAATAATTTATCCTCTTATAGATAGAATAACTGAAACTGTTAATTAGATGCTGTTTCTTTTGAAATTTGCTCTAGAAATAGTCGTATTTTTTATTCATTTGGTTTACCTAACTAAAATTATTTGGTATTTGTTTATCTCAAAGAAAAAATGACCAGTCCCAGATACCGAGACGATATTCAAACCCATAACCTTTTGGAATTCTTTAAGCTTTTTATGAAGATAAATATCAATATAGTATTGTAGATTTAAGTGTGAACAAAATCAATGAAATATAACAAATAATTATTTTAATAAAGGAATAATGCGAATTGTACCTATGCCGTAGCAGGGGTCATATCCATTGAATTTGATCAAATCAGTTTTATCTATCCCCCGGCGATATGTCTATACCTACCAAAGGGCTTGAACACATCCTTAAGAATATTCACAAACATTCGCTTAACCGGTTTCTAAAGACGCTGCCCTTGAAGTCAAGTATAATAAACAATATGTTTTTGCTAAGTAATTTAAGGACTGATTTGATTGCTCAACAAACACTAATTATAACAATTATTCGATAACAATTTCTAATTTGCTATTATAACAGAGGCATTCGAAACGAAACGTTTCATTGTTAAATCAGTGATTAACTAATTAAATCCTTTATTACTTTATTACGTGCAACGAAGGCCGGCGTATTAGCACAAAGAATTGGTCTGTTTTAATTGTTCTAAGGAGTAAACAAAAACAATTTTACGCCGTCGCATTTTATTTAATGTATGAAAATATATAACAACAATATAAACTGATAAATTTGTTTCACAAAAAAAATAATATTGCATCATTAAAATATTTATTTACGGTAAAATCAATTCTGTTGTATAACTGACAATAATGATTAGAATTACAATTTAAAAACACACATTTTCATAACAATAAATGCGACCTATCCTCTAATTATGAAAGATGAATGAAAATTATTTAAATGGCGCCACCTGATGGTGTAAGGTGTTATGATCTCGGCTAACTAATGCGAATGAAAAATGCTGCTCGAATGACGTTAAATCTGCTCATCGAAAAAACGTACAGTAAAATTATTAGCAGGATTATTTTAACTTAAATGTTAAACCATCAAAATAACAGAACTCCTTCTTATAGGACGATTTAAAAGCTGCGCTGTGACATCGCGCTTATTTACGTTCAGATTCTTTCGCTGGAGGCGGCGTCAGTGATGAATTTACTTGATTAGGCCTTTTGCCTTGAAAAGATCGCGCATGAGCCCTTTGAGGTAGCGGATCTCGCGTTGTAAATCGGAACACTTGTCGTCGAGATCCGTATGACGTTGGCGGAGCGCTTGCTCCTCACTAAGTAGCACCTCGATTTCCGCCTTCTTTTTCTGACGGTAACGAGTAGCGGCGTTTTTGTTCTGCTCCTTCTTGCGGGAACGGCGATCGTCCACCGATCGAGAGTACGGTTTCGGGCGGGATGGTGCACCCCACTCCTCGTCGGTAGAAGACGAACGGGGTGAAGACGGCGGAGTGGAACGAGGAGAGTTGCTCGCGCTATCCACGAACGGGATCGGAGATGACAGTTGAGCGGCGCGATGGCGAACCAACTCCTCGACCGCTTGAAGCTCGGAATCGTACTCTACGGGGATGGAGGGCACGGGAGTGACGACTGGCCAAGGTTCTTGTTGAGCGATGGGCAACGGCGCCAGTGGTGCGCACTGTGCATTCTGCGCGTAGCTTAGCAGCAGCTGAGTAGCAGGGCCCGGCGGGCTCTGCGGTGGAGTAAGGTGAGTCAGCTCCACGGCACCGTATACAGTCTCGAATTCCCGAAGCAATTCCTCCGTGGGCTGCGGTGGTGGGTAAACGGTTGGCACCGGCACCGGCACCGGCACGGGCACGGGCACAGCTAGCGGTTGCACCGCTTCCACGCGTTCCGGCACATTGTTAATGTTCTCGAAGATGGGCAGATCCACTTTCTCCTCCAGCCAATTTGAAAAAATGTTCTCTGTAATAAAAAAAAACACGATTTTAAATTCAGTAACTTATGAATTATAGCATGCTATACTATCTTTGTAGAACCGTTTAAAGGTCAATTAATAACGGCACGTTCTGCACGAATACCCTCAAAGACTAATCGATCAAGTAAAGGACAATAAAAAAGAGACATTGAAAAAATCTGTTCAAATAAAATTATATTATTTATTTCAAAATAGACGAGAGGTCTAATAATTTAATTAAAAAAGCTTGAAAAATAATCCGTCTCATTTCGGTAGTATTTTTAAAACAAATATTTAAAATAGCATTGTAAATACGAAAATTCGCAATAATAATAATAAAAGTTGTAGAATGTTTAAATCATTAATCACATAAGTGAGTACCTAGTTGATATTGAGTTTAGCTTGATCAATATTCATTAAAACCATGCGCAGACCGAGATTGTATGAATTAATAAAAGTATAATTCTAACTAAACCAGTTTAGTTGTTTTATTTTATACAGTAAGCAATATTATTTGCGACACGCGCAGCATTATGCTCGCAGCGAGCTGAAATTAAGTCTTATCACAATGACATAAGATTAAACGTCCCCCTAGCGCGCGAAATGCGCTGTAAATTATACGGAGACTAAACTAAATAAACATTATCTCATGTTGCACGCAGCGTTAAGTTAGCATATCCATTGTTTCAAAGGAATATTATCTAGTGACCATCGTTAAATTAGTCTTCAAAAGCTTACAGAATAACACGTAACTTGATTACTGTTGCATTGTAAGATTCGTCTGTTTTCTTTATTATTACAAATAATTCATTAAACGCTTACAGTTTGTAACAAAGACTTTATTGATAATGAATTTTAATGTCAATACGAAAACAATATCAATTCAAACGGTCATTGTAGTGGATTGGACCATATGAATCAACATCGTATGGTTTACCAACAACCACATTCAGAATCAATTGACACTAATTGACGGGACCGGGTGTCTCAAATTTAAATAATGTTCAGTGAAAAATGCTACATGTTTACTTTTAAAATGGCGACAAATGTGTATACCATTGGTTGCGTCGACCTCAGATAAACTTTAATAATCTAAATAGTTCGCCTCGCGCCTCCGTCCTCAGAGATAAATTGTGAAATCGTCAATATCTACACGTTTAAATATAATTACTCTAACAACCGTTACTAGAATCAGATGTCAATGACACCATGCAAATTTTAAAATATTTAAGACGCAAAACATCAACGCGTGCCTATACGATATAATTATGTTTTTTCCTGTTAATATAAAAAACAGATGTAGTATGACAACAAAGTTAAAGTTATTATTAGGATTGGAATCAAACTATTTTTGACCTTTCCTTCTAATGAAAATATCTATACCTAAGTATTGTAGTTATTGTATTTTTCTGCCCAATCTAGACTAAATTTAGTTTTAATCCCGTAACAGAAATAAATTCTATAGAATACAGGAGCATACTTTGTTATCTTTACATGTGCGGATTAACGGTATGACAAACCCAATACAAATTCTGAAATTATTAGTTTAGTTTATTTTAGAGTGGAACAGAATTGGCGCCTTTTACAGACTAATTAAGTTAGGTTATATATACACTGTAGGTATGTTGGTTGTCAACAACGTGGTTACTAAAAACAGCCTCGAAATCACGCGCGAGCCGCGTGGCTTCGAGGCTGTTCTCGTCTTCCGTGCAAAAAGCTACAGCACTATCATATCTGTATCAAACAGTTCGAACGAAAAGTGACCAATGAGTCGGTTTAATTATTGGCCAGGCACAAACCGAGGTCGCCTTGTGAACGAACTGGTTTATCAATAGCAGCGCAAGTGTAAAGAGATTCCGTTTTATACATTCTCCGGGCCGCGCTCCGAACAAAAACTAAGTAATCGTACTGTTGACACGCTTCACGCTAATCGATTACACCAGCAGTTTATAAGCTGCATGACATTATTCGACGGGCCACGTGAATTTCATGCACGCCAAACATTGAATACATAAGTGAATCAATTCTCCATGTTATTTCTAATCAATATTTTTGAGGTCATGCAACGCATATAGTCAATAGTCAAGTTTGAATAACAATCAAGAACATGATAAAACTACCATTAGCTACGTCAGATAGAAGATCCGCTAAACGAAACACTAATTAGCCTTTTGATAATGATTGAATATATGTATCTCACTCAATATTGAGATATTATTGTTTTTAAATAAACGAACGAATGAAAATATGTAGCAGGCAAACTAGTTTGTTGCGTAGTAAGTGTTCGTTCCAATTTCGATCGAGAACTTACACAATTCAGAGCATAACATAAATGTTTTATCACAGACCTTCGTTACAGTTCTCTACATAATTATTAATTGTAGCGGTTATTGCATAAACACCAAATAGAAACCAGTACATTCAGACCTTGAGTGCCTTTATGCCACACTGACTTTCAATAGACCAAAACAAACAAATCCACACACTGCGGAATAATACATACCAACATAGAAATCGGACATTGCCATCACGAAAGCAAGTTCAGGTAATCAATAGGTACACAAGTCCACACAAAAATGTCTATTCAGTTCTATCTGCTATCTACAATATAGCTTATAAAATAATAACTTGAATACGAATTATACGGGCAGTGGTATAAGATCCTCGTGATAAGAGCTGTGGTCGTCGTGGGTAATCCAGGTCAGTCCAGAGGATCTAACGTCTCTTTACAAGCTTCTGTGAGTTGAACACGATTTCTTTGTTCCAAATGCAGCGATAGTGGCACTTCATTCTAACAGAATCCAAGGGGCGCATGAATCGCGGCAGACATAGGTTGGATGGTGAGCGCGAACGCTCGAAATTTCCTCCTCGAATCGAATTTATTGTCACGGGTAAAAATACAAACAACACCTGTAAACGCGACGCGATACAACAAGGTACTGAGAAGAGTGCGCGCGCGCATATTCCTCCCGCGGCATACCCCCCGCCGCGCCCGCCGGCAATCAGATACCTACTTACACTTACTAACCGAATCAATTAAAAACAAATAAATATAAAAGCATTACTGGACAAACATTATAATGCAAGTAAGGGTAAGCTTACATTAAATATCTCAATCAATTTATTAGAAAAAATTAACACTAGTATATTACTATCATCATTCAGTGATTAGTTTTTTCCTGTATCTTTACGATATTGAATAATTATGATGTTTTTTTTTTTTTTTTTTTTTTTTTTTTTAATTTATTCAGGAACAAACAGTTACAACAAAACATATATGAGCAAAATAAACATAACAACATATAAACCTATAGTTCCATACATATGTACTTGACTTGACATTACGGACCGGTAAACAAAAACAAAACATATGAATGAATTTAGTAATTGGTCTATTCTACACGTCCAAACATTTCAAGCGATCTACGATGTGGCGCTTGAATTTAACTATGGATGTCTCAAAAATATCAATTTCACTGAATGTATCATCGTATAGAGTACAAGCTCTTTTTATGTAATTGTTACTTCCATAGTTAGTTTTACTTGCTTTGTAAGCGAATAATGCCTTTTTACGATTTGCTCTCTCCTGTTTCCTGGGTACCCGAAAAGATAATTTTTCCAGAAGAAAAGTTAATGGGAAACCATTATAATGTCAACTAAGAAAAAGTTATCACAAGTAGGTATCACGATATCTTTGTTTAATGTCTCTATGTGGTATTTATGAGCGCGTGGTTATTGAACACCATCAATTTTTTTGCTTGCTAATATCTTGTTAATGAATTCAAAGTAAAACAAGAAAGTCCATAGACGATAATGCTTTACCGCCAAAATATTTAGTAGCCTCAATAAAGCAGCACACGGCTGAACTACAATATAATATATACATGAATTACATTTGAATACATGAATTACCATTCTCCATGTATTTTACATTATCTAACTACAATTCTAAAAAAATAACTTTTAATTATCAAATACCTTAACAAAAGTTTTCACTTGATGATGTAATTTTTTTGTCTCAATAGATATAAGAAGATCACAAGCTATTTACAAGAGGTCACAGAATTCATCTCCCGAGTGTCAATGAATTTAATATATATTTTTAAAACATATTACATACGTTTCAAATTCTACCTACACAAACAGATTTTAGTTGAGGAAATGTATAGAAAGGCCTTTGAGTTGGTCAAAGGAATTTGACCTTATTGTACATATACTGTAGTCAACCTTACTTTCGGACCCACAATCGATTAAAAACATTTCTCAGATACCGATAAGTTCTTGAGGTAAGGAAAACATGAAATTTATTATAGAATTTTCCTATGTTACTCGTACGTAGAATTCTTTAGGAATATCGTCTTTATTAATTTTGACATCAAACTTATTTATATTGCTCGGATCATTTATCACCAAGGAAATAGTAATTGGCTCAGAACCCTTGATTAGGCGACCTACGTTAATACAATTAATTTTTATATAAGTATTATATATAACTTTCACAGATAGGAACGATATCTGTAGAAATGTAGTGATGTTACATACTTAAATAGACTATCATAATTATTCATTTAATATTAACGGTCTTATATAATATAAAGTCTTATATAATTAACATTTATATCGTAAAAAATTAGCTTCTTGTATAGCGTAACATTGCTTTAGATTCTACCGAGTGTCTACATTCAGCAAATTCGATTTCAATTCCACTATTTAATATCTTATTGTACATAAAAATAACGCCATGTTAATGTCATCCTAACACCAGAAATTAAATAGAAAAAATAAAATTACCTTTTTAATAGCACTATGTGGATATATTTTTTTATACCTATAGTTTGTAAGTTTAATTTTTATGTCATAGAACAAACAAGTATTTAATTTTAATTCATGTTATGATAAATCGATAATCCTCTGACCCTACTGACTTTAATTTATCTAGCCATTGGAGTCCCAAGGTTCTGCAATGCCCTAGGGTTCAATCTTGCTGACTTTACATACCTACGAGATCTGTATTTTACATGAAGTATCTAAAATATTTTTTAGAAACGACTTGGTATTTAGTAAAATTTTAAATTTGGAAATTAAATATTTGTGATCAATGAAATCTATTTATTGAAACAAAATAAATGTGAAAATAAAATAAATATCAAAGCATTATAGTTAAAACCAAGTGAAGACATTTAACAGCTTTACAGTGACCTAACGTAATTTCCATCTTCAATTCTGCCCTCCCGAGCGTAAAACGCAGTAACAGCAAAATTTGCATTTTTTGAGTTTTTCATATCGGCTCAAAGCCCAATTCAAACCCTACAACCAATAATAATATTCTATTTTTGTTTCTTTTAAAATTAAGGCGTCGAATTTGTAAATTTATCTGAAAATACGCCATGATTACCACCTAATATGCAGTAACAATTTTGGCCTACTTACTGCATTTTAGTTAGTTAATGTAACAACAAAACTGTTGAATATGCAGTAACAACTCACTTTTAAATAGTTTAACAAACGATTTAGCAAAAAAACTAGAAGCAGAGGTTAAAAATTTATAATGACTATAATTAATTTGTCATGTTTTTAATTTGAAATTAAGGAATTATTTTAGTATTCTAACTTTTCTTACACTTTGCATTCTGATAATAAACAGTTATTTGTTAAAGATACACAAAATTTAAATTTCACATACGTTTTTCTCGGTTTCTTGTTTGTGCTATTACTGCGGTTTAGGTTTAGGACGGCAGAATTATTATTTTACCGAAAACCAAATATTGATTATGAAGTTTTCTGATTCGACGATAATCATAATTGTAGAGACCAATGTGCGTGGGTCACATTATCGGGGGAAATCCAATAACCGACACAGTATGTTATGATTTTAATAAATAAGGATAAAACTATCAGAAAACAATGAATAATGGTCTTATTTCTTTATTGATATTTACTTTTACATTGTTGATAATACAACACAACTACAAGCAGCAATCTTTTCATGTTTCCTTACTTGTTTCTTATATTTTAACTCGCACTACTTATTAAGCAGAACGACTTTTAAAAGGTTTTTAAAGCGTGTATTTATGTTTATTTTTTTAAATTACTGTTAATATATGTATTCTCATTAATATCTATCTATCATCGAGAACGAACTGATCTTTGTTCATTGCTGGTGAAGGTTTATTTATGAATTAAATTAAATTAAACTGGGTTTTCATAATCAAAATGGAGAAAGATATCATCTAGTAGAGACATGACAATCCATAAGCGTTATAAAGAACTTCATGATATAAGTTCGTTCGATTGAAGCTCGATATGTAATAATTAAATATGTATAACGCTTTCAGGTTCAACAAAATATCCACATATATATATAAAAGATCACTAGTTTACATAATTTAAATTACATAATTTCAATATACACCTCACAAGATAATCAACCGCGTGGTAATATGGTCCCGTGCTGCCCATGTTTTTTTATGAGCCCTTTGGCCCTATGCCCCAGCATCGAAGACGATGATGATATAGTAAATTATTAAATTGATAAATGATATATTACAGAAAATATTGTTCAAAACAACTGTCACTACTGATACGTAGGTTAGTAACATTATGAGGGTGCATATATCAAGTATTGTTTTGTTGAAATAAATATTTATAGGTATTATTGTATTATTTATATTATACAAAGACATTAAAATCAGTTGAAAGATAGTTGTAGCTACTTCAAAAGAAAGAAATAACATCGATAAGACTTTAAAAGTTTTGCAATACATCGTTATTGCTTTTTATAAATACATCACTTCTTATTTCAATGTTGTTTTTTTTTAATATACATATTATTACAAGCTTAAGATTGAACCTAAAGCAAATCACTCGTGTCAATTGTGAACAAAACTATTAAATTTGTATCAAATTGAACCCATTTTAACCAAAAAATAGGAACCCTAAATTAATAAAAATAACACTAACATATTCCAAATAAACTGTATTAAAATCCATAAATATATGTAATTCTCAAATAAAATAAATTACAGTTGCATAACGAAAATAAGTTCAACTTCTAAGTGTAATACTAATTTTATATAGAAAATAAATAAATATGTAAGTCACTTTGTAGCTGGAGCAGACAGAAGTTTCACAATCGGAATTTGCAAGTAAATCAAAGTTTTGCGCTTCTTATTTTGCTCCATACGCGTTCGTTTGTTCTTTCATCAGGAGGAGATAAATTTTATATCATTATAGTATTTAATAATTATATTATTTTCTTGTTCAGCAATTATTAGAGATCAGTAACATCCTACAAATAACTGAAGTGAAGTGATAAAACTCAAATAAAACTTTATCATTATGGAAATGTTAAAGTCAGTAGTAATGTAATGATTTATCAGATGACCCTATTTATATTCAAAAGAACAAATTCTTAATTAGCCATTAACAATAATGATAAGAAATTGCTAGATCACGCACGGTTCCAATGATCTCATTAATAAGAGGTGTGTCTAAATATAAAAGAAATTATAACAACATTATAGCGCCATAATGCCTGTAGCTTCGGCTTTTCCTTCTCTCTCATTTTATCATACAGAATCAATATGTTCTAGAGCGAGAGGACAAGATTTCGGATGTCGGAAGCCGTCTCTCATTTTATCATAAGAATCAATGTGTTCTAGAGCGAGAGGACAAGATTTCAGATCTCGGAAGCCGGCCGACTGCAAATCCTTACTTTTCATATGTTTTGTTCAATCAGAAATACGATGCTGTAATGCAAGCTACTGTATTCAAACGAAAAAAATGCAGAATTTGAAGGTAGTTAAATGGTAATGTGTATGTATTAATATTTATTATACTAATATTGTAGAGGAAACATTAGATTATTTATTTGTTCGTTTGCATTTTGAGTCGCGACAAAACAGCTATTTGATTTATAATTATAAACTCCGTTTATAACTGTGATTAGATCTGTCTAAGGAACACTTTGTCCGAAAGTAAGTCAAAGCATTTGATAGAGCATTACTGTAAATAACATTACTGTAAATAACTGTAAAATGATACGATATTGCGCAAATTCCACACCCGTTAGTACCTGCAAGATATTTGTGCACCGCTCGCCGACCATCGAAGAAGTGCATTTGCACAAGCGGCAATCATACTTGCACAAAATTCAAGGACGGATCCAAGGTCATGCCCATAACAGTGGATCTCAATCGTGGTCTTAGTGATCTTGATCACGGCGTATTTATTTTGGTAAACGTCTGCTTTGCAACAATCCACTATTTTGATCTGGAGTTCATACTCCGACTTGCACTGGGCCTATTTTCGGATGACTTTCTATGATTACAACCTTTTTTACAGTCATTAAGTCAAACGTGTACTACTGGACTATATTGCAACACAATTAGAAAAAAAAAAACAAATATTGCGCTCTTTCCTATTTTAGATTTGGACAATTATCCTTTTATATCCATTTATTTGTCCAGTATTAAATCTAACATTAAATCTAACTACGAGTAAGTCAAAATCAAGAGCGCGTGAGTCAAACGTAATTTGCATATTCTATACAGTACGTTTCATAATACCGTAGTGAATTTTTATTTATTTACGATAAATAAATAATTTGTTCAGTGGACATGAGGTCAAGTGATATTGTCAATAAATACTTAACATGACACGGTAGAATTTACTTTCGCAGATATTTTAAATATATTTCACACGAAGTATGTAACAACTTATTATGAACATTCAAAACAAACTACAGCGTTTATTTTCAGTATATTTTGTATGTGACAATGCTATATTGATATTTTTCTTAAAAGATCTAAGAACATGTATGTGTTCTGGATTCCCACGATTAATACTTCCATATTCTTACTTATGAAGACTCGTAGCACCATCAATTAACCATTATGTGGATTTCCAAGACGTAAAATCTAAAATTTGTCGATCTCTAATAAATTGTCACAATTTGCAGAACTATGTATTCCACAAATTGAGAACTGCTGGAAAGTTTCATGGACAAAGTTGGGATAAGGATTAGGCACAAAAGAGAATTAGGATAAGGACCAGAAAACAATTATGATGGATAAAAAATATATTCTGGGTACAGCACTTGGGCTATAGCTTTACAGTGTAAGTCGGGTTTTTGTACTAACCTTGTTTGCACTGATTGTCTAGCTGCTGCAGCAGATCGTTTGCAAGTTCCGCACGACTGGGTTTGGTTTCAAGCGGTGATGGAGGGTACATGCTGTTGCTGTCATCATGCACGATGAACTTGCCGGTTTCGATCTTAGGTGCAGCGCTTGGAAAACTCTTGAGCAGACCTGTGGACAAACGACAAGAATACCTCGTAGAACGAAGAACTTATAATGAATTATACGAAAAATTTCTGAAAAGTAAGACCGTAAATTTATCGAAATATTAAATCTTATGCAATTTAACTTTCAAAACTTTTTGAGATAAAACTAGTCAAACAGCCATTAGACTTAAGAACTTTGTAGAAAAATATTCAATTTGTATTTTGTAAATTGACACTTAGTATCATGAGGATAGTGTTTAAATTGACTTTGAATAAGAACAATTACACCTTTGCACGTGAGCTAGCACTAAAATTAGTTTTTTCTAATAAGTGTAAAAATATGATTTATATCTTAAGTAACATGTTTCTAAAAATATGATTTTTAAAAGCTCAATTTAGAATCTACAAAATAATTAGAAACCCATGGATATGTTATATAAAACATGCTGCTTATAGAATTATAGTATATAACAAACAGTTAGGTACTACTTCTTTCTAAAAAATATTTTAATAGCATGCACTTGTGTTTTACAAAATAACCAAATCTTACTTTGCAGAAGTGACAACTGGAAGTCTCTACAGAGATCGCACATTCCGTTACTCTTGTAACAACACATTTTGCACTCAATTATAATCTACTAACTATTTAAAAAAGTTAATACTTTAATTTTAATATTGAAATACTGTTCGATTGTAATACAGGGGTATTGATTGAATTAATTATTAACTCAGTCGCCAGAACGTATCAGAGAAGCTTCAAGGTAAGGAGCTTAGATAAGTAATGGACAAAATACATCGAGAAATACGAAGACGTCAATATATATATGAACGATAACTGTCGCACGATATTACGTCACAGCAACGCCCAGATGTCGTGATGCCTTTAAATCTTTAGCGATAATGTGACAAAAATATATTTTTATATAAAAAACTTCATAATTACTTATATCATTCCCACTCGTTACATTAAAGCCCCCGTAACGAACTTCTGATAAAAATCCAAAATATCTGTGCAAAGAGTATTTTATATAATTTTCCTGATGTTTTATTCTAAAGGCGAGATTAACGTCTTTCAACCTACATTAATCAGTTATCAGGCTTTTCGTAATTTATAGTTAAAACTTATTTAATACCACAACTTTTCGGTAATTCTTTCTGATGTGCTAATAGCTAATTGAATAATAACTTTTAGATATAATTCTCTTCTAAATTGAATTAAACGGAAGTAGGATGTATACAATACCAAAATAAGTAGGAGAATTATGAATATGAGATTTTTCTTACATTACTAAATAATTGAAACATTTATGTTATGCGATAATAAAGCAGTCGTCAATTAATTTCTTTAAAAAAATACTACTTGTGATTATGGCTGTTGTTTTCTGTATATGTAAGAATCGGGATCCAATACTGAACTCTACTCTTCGTTTGAAAGATTTTGATTAAATTAACATAATGTTATCAAATGTGAAAAGCTCGAACGATGGCGCAGTGGTCATCGTGCTGGATGTGCAGTGCGGCGATTAAGCAAAGCATTCGTACCGGATAGATTCCTTGTGGTTTTTCAGAAGGCATTTGATTGATTAAAAGCTAAGAAAAATTAAAAATGAAACGTTATGGTTACTCAAAAAGACGGCAGAGTTTAATACAAGCATATCGCACACCTAGATCTAAACTAAGACAACTCAAAAAACGAATGTGGAGGTTTGACAATACATTTGTTTACGTGACAGGAGCGCGACCACTGTTGATTTAACAAAAGAAAGCTAAAGTTATCTAGTGGCTCATCCCCAAACCTTTATTGAATCTGTTGTTGGATAGATGCGTATGATCACAGAGAATTTGAATATTGTACCAAGTAAAAACTCAATCAAATTTTTGAGTTGTCTCAGTTTAGATCTAGGTGTGCGATATATTCTATTCGATTGATAATATGTTTGTTTACAAAAAATCAATGGCAAAAAAATACCTATATCTTATACCTCGAGGTTCAAAATTAGGTCCTCAACATTTTCTTTGGATCTCCAATCTTATCAAACGACAGAAGTATTATTAATTAATAAACATCTCCCGTTCTATACAAATTTAAAGTTAGAGCAGTCGCCCGGATTGCGAAAAATCGTGGCTTCGAATCCCATCTCAGGATGCCAGGGACCAAGTGGATTGTTCAGGCATTTTTCATTAAGAAATTTAAACTATTTCGACCAGTTCTCGTTGAAACTTTTTTATTATTCATATTTCTTAACCATACGTTAATATTATTATTATTTAGTAACATAACCGTAGGAAACAAATTATCTTATAGTTTTTAAATTACAACTCAAAAAGGTAAAAATAACTTTATCATTCATCACTTGAACGATAGTTATAAATTAAATTATACAGTTAAATTATCTGATGCTTTCTTAACACTAGATTGTTAAGTTTAGGTTGTTTGCTTAACACTAAATTTTGACAATTTATCCACTATCAATTTGGACAATACGACACACCCTATATCATAGGACTTTTATTAAGAACACGATCGAAACAGATGCAAACCTTTTCACGATTTTTGTTTGTTATATGTCTAATTGATGCAGCGTTTATATTTAGAAAAATCTCTCACTAAATGTAACTAAGCAATAATCAAGAAGTTATTATAAAAAACACGTGTAAAAAGAAATTGATAAATAGACATTTGTTAACCATGATATAATGATTCATAAATAAACAAATGTACCTATTATCATTGACTATGTAAAATACATATCAAAAACAGAATCTCACAAAAGTGGGTCTAAAATAGCATTTCTCGCTCTAGGGTTTTTTTTTAAATTTGGGGTACTTGTTAACTTTACACTTTTTTGTTTCGATGGGGTTAATCATTTTAACATGTGCAGTGATTGATGTACTGAGCATTTATTTATTAAACATGTTAGTCGATGTTAGTTAAAATAGTTACCATACCGAATGGAATAGGTAGTTATGTATTTGAAAATGATCGGCCACCTACACTCTGATCTACTTGGAGATAATTATAATTATAGAAGGTTAATTACTTATTAATTAGGCCATTCAAGTAAATAATAATCAACCTATCTAAGTTATAGATCTAAGGGCTAGAAATAAGACGAGTATGATCATGCATTACGATAAACAAGATGTTATAAAATTAATAAATGTCAAAACATATTTTCATTGGAAACAAGATAACTAGTGGAAAAACATTCAACTCAGTGATATGCAATTGAAAACATGGACATAGAGCTCCCGATTTGAAAACAAATATGTTTTTAGAACGGGATGAACGTCATCACTTTGATATCAAGACTGTGATCACGAAATGGCAGTATGACAAGGATGGTGAGATGTAGACACACCCACTATTTCAACATAGCAACATAGAGGGTAAAAATATTACTCCGCTACGATAGTCCGGTGATAAAACCGCGGAGATGTTCACTGACTTACGTAAGAACTGATAAAATTGAGTATACTTAAAAAAATAAAAATCACATGACTTACGAGTGAAGTCTTAAAAGTTTTCGACTTAACAAAGATACAAGGTATTTTGGACATGTTTCTTTCTGGTCTTGTGCGGGCTATTTTATTTTTTCCGTCCCGTAGAATTTTACGCACGCTTTCTTAAGTAACTGCAACTAATGTTTATTATATAAATATGTTCTTTCCTTTAAGATTCAAAGTTCACACATTTCTCTTAGCAATACGAAGGTATTGCTGGGGGTAGCCCCATATCTTTTAATTTGTTCAAATAGTCCTGGTTTTTTTTACAAATTAAATTATTAATAATTATTCAAAGAAAGAGATAGCTAACGCGTGGATCATGATATATATACCTGTTTATAACAAGGATGTGAATTATTCATAGCTTATGTTATCAGATTTGCTCTAATTTTTCTCGCTCTAATTTTTGTCTAACGCAATTTAGCAAAACAAGTTCAGCAGTTTTTGAACATCCTCAAAATATATCGTCTAGTTCAACAGCTAAAGTCACAATAGTAATCATCGTCATACCTATTAATGTCCTCACTGAATAAAATTAGATAGGGAGAACAAGTCAAAACCCCATATGGAGGACCAGTACGAATTAGTGGATGCAGCTTCAAATTTTGGTTACCCATCTTACATCGTACAATTAACGAGCTATATCCACTATGACCTACCATCGACCTCCTCGACCACAGTATGAATAAATAAATAAAATAAATTGTTCTCAGAATTTAACGGCATTCAAACATTTCTATCAGCTTAACTTGTAAGGTCTATTTATATTTAAAGCTGTTCAAAAAATATTTTATGGCACTCAATGTCTTTGTTACATACAATATATGTGATTCATAAGATAAAAAAATATTGAGTTTATTAGTTTATAAGACAAATGTACATAAACATAATATATGATACATATACATTACAAATATACAAGTAAGTAGGCTGGTTTCGTTTTATATTTTCACAGTAGCAGTCACATCTATATTATGTGGAACAACAAATGTTCCTTGCAAAGTTGTTTATATTTTACTGATTACTTTTCCGCATTCCATAACTTTTGTCGACCGGCTTCGCAATGTAACACTTCATATAAATTCCTGTGAATGTATGTGCCACTTATGCTAATAATAGTTCTATTAATATTTAAAAAAGTCGAAACTAATAAATTATTTCTAAGTTTTCAAAATCAGAATCCACAAAACCTAAAATAATTAAAGAGTTACGAGTAATAGTTGTTTAGAATCAAAATTTATTTCTGTGTTTAAACATCGTTAATTCTGTTACATGATTGTCAATCGTATTAATAATCACAAGTTGCAGCCTTCTTTTCAATTTTTATCAAAAGTTATATTTCTGTCAAGGAAAAAGTTAAAATTTTCTTAGCTACGTCTATCTCCTCTCCTGCTACATGGTATGGTGGCTTTATTTTCATTAGTTTTAAAAACACTTTAGAAATTAGTTTTTTTTTATAAACATCCAAAATTATCCAAAAACTCTTTATTCGCTTTAGAGAGCTATATTAAGTAACCC